TATGGGCGCTGTTCAAACTGCAGACGATATCCAACAGTATCATTGTCAAGCAGGGCACCACTGTATACGGGTGCTGTTCAAACTGCAGACGATATCCAACAACTCCTTAAATGGACCGAATCTATCTGAGGGACCATTTCCATGTCCTTTCCCTCCGTCTCAATGGACCGAATCTATCTGAGGGACCATTTCTATATCCTTTCCCTCGCTCTGTCTCGGTTGTATATGGGCTACTGGTTGAAGAGAAAAGTCTGTGGAAACGTCATCCAGGTAGTCGGCTGGAATGTCAATGAGATCACCAGCGAAGTTCAGCTTCAAATGATGGACTCTCCAGCAGGTGAGACCGTAGGGAAGATTTCATGGGAGCATTGTTTTATTTAGTCATGCTGGCCAAAAACTACGGAACTTGTAAGTCTATCGTATCTTTGGGGGACGGGGGGGGATCAGATGCAGAAAGGTTGCTACAGTCAATGAGAAAAAAGTCAGAATGGAGGTGGGGAAAAGCTGAAGCAACACATCACAGTTGCAAACAGAAAGGTAACATGAAAGAGCTTTAGAAGAAAACCGTTTAAAGACAGGGCACCATTATTCCCGCAAACCAGACATTCAGGGCTCATCTATTGTCTTTTGTACTTTACTACAATGGTTGCTAACTTTCCTCTTTATAAAGGAAAAATGCATCTGGTCATGTGCAGAGTGGCATCTCCCAATTACCAACTCCTGGGGTCAAAGCAGTAAGCATTCATGCCTGCTGCTCTCCTGCATCATTTATTTTCTGAAGCGACCAACAGGGAAAATGCTCTCTTCTCTTGGAGATGAGGAACAGAGTTTGTCGTTGTGTCCCCATGTCAATCCTTCTCCAAATCTCCTTCAGGGACTCTTCAATTAAGGAGAACAGTTCGAAAAGCATTTTAAGTGTGGAGCAAAAACGCACTGGAGTAAAATGCACTGAAAAAAAACCAATACATGGGGAAGGGAGGAAGGAAACCAGCAAACATGACTTATTTCTTTAGCAATAAGAGACATTACAACAGGTATTCGTTAAGTCACTGTCACATGTAGTCATTCGCTTCCTCATTTATTTGGCAATGAGTGTCATTGTTTACACGAACACCATCTCTATTACACAAGGCCTAATGACATATAAACATCTCCTGAAGTCCCTCCTGGCTTAATACCCCAACTCTCCCTGCACCCCCTTGACTGCCCCTCTCCCCCACAGACATGACAAGCCCTAACTGGAAAAAAAAGATTCTGCACCCTGAAGTCATTCCTCCCCCCCATCCCTGCCAGTAAGCGAGGCGTAAAATTTGGACAGATGTGCTAACTGTACTCATCACGCCCCCAACATGACTCTAATTGGACTGGGCGGCTTTACAGCCAAAGGTGTGATCTATGACTCAAGTCTTTCAAGGCAAGGAGGCTGAACAATCATTTTATTATGCTAACTTGAACAAGCCTTTCAGACTTTATTTATTCCAATGAACTGCAAAACCCTTCAGTTTTCGTCCTACCTCAGCTCTTGTTCTGCTTCATTTCTACGCCGACAGCAGATGTTCTCCGAAAGCAGCAACTGGCTGCTGATCAGTTACCAGGCATGATTTAAGGGGCTGGTTTTAACCTAAAAAACCCTGAATAGCTTGGGTTCAAGCGATCTCAAATACTGTATCTTCCATGATGAGCCAGCTCGGGTGTTAAGATCATCAAGAGAGGCCTTTTTCTTGGTCCCACGACCTTCATAGGTGTGTTTGATGGGGACGCAGGAGAGGGCTTTCTCTCTTGCCGCTCCCAGACTTTGGAACTCCCTCCCACTAGAGGCCAGACTGACCCCATCTCTGCTTTCCTTCCGCAAGCAGGCAATCCTTCCCCATAGTAACCAGCTACTTGTGTCTGAATTTGGTTATGCATTACAGCTTTGATTTATTTTTAGTACTAGTTGCGTTTTCCATTTTTTGTGTTTTCCATTTCTCAGAGCAAACTTTTTTTAAAATTTTTTTTTAAAATTTATACTTATGATCTTTGCCTTAATATTGCATGTTAATGATGTAAGATGCCTCCTTATTCATTGTTCGTAGCTTTAAATATTGTCTTTTAAAAATGTTAACCACCGTTGTATACTGATTGTTTCCAACTTTCAACTTTAATTATTGTCTTTCATTGTTGTAAGCCGCCTTGGGTCCTTTTCAAGGAGAAAGGTGGGGTAAAAATATTTTAAATACTGTAATTAAATAAAGACCAACTACATGCAGGTTCTCACACAGTTATGCCTTTCCGACAACAGATGAAATCCTGTTACTTAGCACAGTAATTCACCTCTAGAACAGGACCACTAAATCAAGCAGAGGAGTTCCGCAGAGGTCTAGTTGTGACTTACTAGACCAAGCATCAGGATTTCAGCCAATATCTGATTTTCAAGATACCCTTAAAAGTCCCATTGTGCAAACACTGGGTAAAATTCCAGCTGTGACCACAGGCATGGCTGTTGGCCAACATTGTGAGTGGAAAATTCTCTAATTTTAGTAAGACATTGTTGCATATATTTCTTTAGGAACATGGCTATAACTAATAATGTTATGACTATCGGTAACAGTGGCCAGAAACGTTCTGCTATGTGCTTGCATAAGGGAAACCACATAAGCCACAGCAGCAATTGCAATTCATTAATGGCATGCTGGCTGCATTCATAGAGCACATGTCTAGGAACTCAACCACCGTCACATTAACAAGCAGCTATTGGCCATCAAGGCTCACATATTTTTCCCTTAAGCAAATGTAAACGAGAAACAGAATTCTGACCAATAACTGTAATATAATATTAAGCAAATCTAAAAAGAGAGAGAGAGAGAGAGATCATTAACCCTTTTCAGGAGGCTGAAAGTATGTATAGCTCTTCAAGTATGTTAAAATTTTTACTACAGTGCTGTCACTGCACCGTAAAATCTAAAAACTGGCCAGGGAAGCATGTCCTGTGGAGTCATATTTACCAGTATTTCCATAAAAATAATTTTCAAATAAAACTTTTAAACTGTTCAAACATTACATTCAAATCACTATAATTACACCTAATTGTTTTTTTCCTTCCTAATTATTTCAATCCAACAACTGTTCACTACTAGAAAACAGATTTCAGATATTTATACATCGCCTAGGCAAACTTTTAAAAAGAAATTACACAGCAAAGCAAGTCAAACTTGCTGAATCAGATCGCCTAGGAAAAGGTCTAGAAAATTCCCAATTCAATGTTTGGTGGACAACCTCGTCCTTTTATTCAATGTCTCACTTGTATCATGCTCTATCTTGTCTGTACCAGTACTCACCAACCTTGGGTTCTCAGACAGACATTCTTGGTCTACGACTCCCAGAAGCTCTTGATAGCATCTCTAGTTGTGAAGGCTTCTCAGAGTTACAATCCAAGAATGTCTGGAGACCTATGGGTGGGAGCCATTGGTCTATGACATCAATGCTTTTCCAAAGATGTCTCCTGGATCTGCTTATGTCTTGTCAAAGCAAAAGCTTTAAGAATAGGATGACATTGGCTGAAATCCTGTTCAAGCTGATTATGTCTGTGGAAGTGTGCCCAGCCTTGGAGCCAAGCCCTCTGTGACCAGTGACACGGTTTCACCTCGGGACTGTGGCACGACATGCCCGTTGCAGGGCTTGGTGCCTACGACTTCCATGATTTTTTCTACTGCTTCCTCAGCTGCGTAGCTGAGCAACAGGATCTCAGACATCATTTTGCACTGTCCCACCTGAACAGAATATTGAAAACTTTACTGGATCGCAATCCACAAAGTCTTCAGCCAGCATGGTGGGCTACAACACTGGCTGGGTGATTCTGGGACTTAACAGCCCACAGAATCATGGGACGGTAGAGCTGGAAGGAACCTTAAGGGTCATCCAGACCAACCTCCTGGCGGTGCAGGAAACCCAAAGCTGAGGCATCCCTGACAAGTTGCAGAGATTAACCAAAGCATGTCCAAAGATTGTCTGAAGGGAGGAACGCCATTCCACCTGTTTAAAGACCCCCCCCCCAATGAAAAACAAAGCATGCAGGTTATACACCACTCCAACAACACCTAAAGCACTTCCTAGACCTAGGGGGTTTACAATTTAATTATCTAGGTTATATATTACCCCCTTTCCCCCCCCCACCCAGTGAGCTGGGTACTCAATTTACAGACCTTGGAAGGAAGGCTGAGTGACCCTCGAGACAACTACCTGGATTGAATCTGGGCTGGAAGGAAGGCTGAGTGACCCTCGAGACGACTACCTGGATTGAATCTGGGCCATGAGCAGAGTTTTGGCCACAGGACTGCCGTTTACCACTGCATCATGAGACTACCGCCTTTCCTAGAGAATCAATTCCACTATCAAACAGCTCTTACTGTCAGGATATTCTTTCTAATAATACACTGGGAGAGGTGTGGGAAGCCAGATGGACTGACACTCATTTTAGAATTCTGTGCAACAGGAGACAAGAGATCCTGTCTAGCAGCAACATGCTGTTCTTGCTGCTGGATTTTTAAAAAATCTCCTTGATGCTTATATTATGCTGTTTCTTTTATTAGGCTGTAACACAACACAATAACACTCACAATATTATGTAATTATTCCCTCTCTTTTTAATTACACACAGGCCATTTCTGGCAAATAGGAATAAATCAATGAATACCTATAAATTAAGTGGACAATGAGCATGACAGCTGCAAGGGCCAAGTGAAGCATGCCCAAAGCATGGTTGAATGGAGGGAGGCCAAAGATGCTGCTTACACCAGGCAGAATATCAATGGGCAAAGACCAAATGTGACGGAGCTCTAAAGCAAGCCCCATGCACAGAAAGTTGAGCTTCATAACACTTGGGGGTCTGTATTTCAATTCCAGCTCAGAACTTTACCATCAGATAAAAGTCCCAAATGTGAGAGAGGGAAATCAATGTGACCTGTCTCATAAAGCACTATGCAACTACGCAAGAGCTATAAAAATCCAATGAAGAGACCCACCTGTGGATTTGCCCATTTTTATGCAGGTATTCCAGTCCTTCCAAAACCTCCTTCAGGATCGTGGCTATTACAGGCTCATCCAGGACTCCGTTCTTGTGTTCTCCTTTTGCCACGATGTGCTTAATAACATCCAGAACAGACCCTACAGGGAAACAGAGAAGGAGATGTGAGTTAATGAAAGAAGTGCTGGATTAATTCAACCAGCTGCCCTCCAGGATAACCTTCTTCCGACTGATTTGATTTAATCTGACCCAAACGGGCCACAAGGTAATGAAACAGAACAGAATGCAATTAAGATGAATAAAAACATCAACATGTAAAACCTCTCTGAAAAAAACTCAGTCCCTGCCAACTCAAAAAGAGCAGCAATGAGAGTTCAGTTGCCCGAGACTCCACCTGAATAGAAAGATCTCCGCTTGTCAGAAATTTAAAAAATGACCCATGACTCTGAGCCCAGCCACCTCCCATTTTTTCTCGGGTGGGAAAGCTTATTTTTAATAGGGACTCGGACTTGAGACTTGGTACCAAAGACTCAGACTTGGGACTCCAAGTACCAAAGAATTGCCATCCTTGCTAGTTACCCACGAGATATGTTGCACTATAATCCCAATTTCCACAGATAGCATGGCCAACAAATTCACGCATTTGAAAGGCAACATTTTACCTGCCCCCTAGACACCTCCAAAGACAGGGAGTTTCCATTCAACTATCACTGAGAGGCAGTACAGTATAGTGGTCAGAAGTGTCACATCAGAAACAGGGACACACTTTAAAATCCTCAACTCGGGTACAAAGCTGACAAAGTGACTTGGAGCAGTACTCAACAACAGTACTCAACAGGATCCATCCTACAGTACAAGGCTAGTGTGAGAATAAAACAGGAGGATAAGCATATTGTCCGCTGGGGTACAAAGCTGACAAAGTGACTTGGAGCCCAACAACAGTACTCAACAGGATCCATCTTACAAGGCTAGTGTGAGAATAGAACAGGAGGAGAAACATATTGTCTGCCCTAAACATAATGAATTCTACAAAAGGTGCAATTGTTATCTAGCTACCTATTATTAAGGCTGCCCAGTGAGCGTTGTTCTTTTGCAATTAAAAAGAATGACAATTGGCAGTCCTAATTTCCAGAGATTTATTTAAGCCTACACACACACACCCGTTTCAAATTATAACCATCTAAACCACCACTGCCCATTGTCATAGGTCGTCACTTTCACAGATTTCTTACACGATGGCTCAATTCAGCTATCACATCAAATCGTAGTTAACGAAGCTTATTTGCAGTTTCAGTGTGCTCCAACTTAACAGCAGCTGGACCAACAAACCATGTATGAAAACCATGTGGTTTTGCTAAGCATGGCTAACTATGCGGGTCAGATGTCATGTTGGCAAATGAAGTGAGTGATTGGGGGGAGATAGGGAGAAAGCTGGGGGGGGGAAGAACCATGATTTGCCTGCTGTACATCTAAGCAGCTCAAATCATGGTTTCAGATACCATAGCCTGTCACAACATTGTGCTTTTCAACAGAGTATTTCCCTTTGCCACTTCTGAATCTAATAGCCTATTAGCTACATCGGGAAACTGTGATGCCTAGAAAAGCAGAATAAATTGACAAGATATCTGAGATGACTACAGGTGATAGTGAACAATTTAAATGAGCTTCTAATTAGGTAAAAAACTCCCTGTTAAGGGAAAAAAATGTAGCAGATAAAGAGTAGGCTAAACTAGAATCTGTCTTTGGAAAGATTTTTCTCTTAACTATTTTTGCCACTATTTTATCATCTGAAAATTCCACTACTTAGTTTCACTAAATGTAGAGAAAGAGCGAAGTTCTGGTACAAAATGGTGGGAGAAAAACTTCACAAACACACACACACACACAGAGAGAGAGAGAGAGAGAGAGAGAGAGAGAGAGAGAGAGATGCATCACACGACAGAACTGATTTTCATTTTAAAACTATCGGCCACTGAAGATTTTAAAGAGAGGAAAAAGTGGTAATTGGACATTCTACAATAGCAGGGCAGAACAGAAGGGAGGGAAAAGCAGCAAGACAAGACTGAACGGCAGAAACATCCTTCTCAAGAGGTCTGCGTGCAAGCAGAGCAGATCAGACATTAGTTCTGCCCAGCTTTACCCTCCAAGATTACACGGAAATCAGTTCTATGACTAAATTAAGTGTCAGCAGCAGTAATGGGTCTTCTGAAAAGATTTTGAGAGTCAGGTCACCTTGGTGAATGCACGCCAAGAGTTCAACCTCATCTCATTTTTAATATTAAAGTTTCTTTAAAAACCTTAAGTCAATTAACAGGCCATGGATATTACAGCAATAATTTCATTTAGAATAAAAGTTTTAAGAGTTCATTTTGCTTCAGCTGGTGGATTATCACTGCAGGGTGGCAGTAGGATTTCATGTTGTGACATGTTTCAGTGATTCTGAAAAACGCACAGTCCTTAAAACACAGCTTTCTTGATGATTAAGATTTAAATAGTACAGTATTTGTTTTGACGACTGATTAAATCCAGAATGACAGCTAGCCTCAAAAAGGACACTCGGATATACCTGCATTAAAGAAGTTTACAACTGTGGCTTGCCAAAATGTATGATCATCAAAAGCATACAGAAGCATGTTTCTTTCAAAGGGCTCTCCTCTAAAGCCTACCTACATGCAGAAAGTGTCCAGAAGTGAGCAAAGGCAGGCAAAGTTAGGCATCTTCATGTAAGCATTCTTCTTCCCATTTGACCTCAAGCACGACTTAATAGCACATGAGTACATATACACAGAGGGTCGTGGTGGCGCTGCGGGCACATTAGGAGGGGGAAGTGACAAACCGTCTTCGTCTCTTAATCTCTAGAATGTTGTGAGGCTTCTGTGCATGCGCACTGAATGCCCATGTGTGTGATTCACAGAGACCACAAAGAAGAAATAAAAATAAAGCAAGCACCATAAGAAATGTTTTAGAGGGCAATCCTCTATTTTTTTTCCAAATCTGATGCTGTAAATATCTCTCCCAATTTTTTTTGTTTTGCAATAGTTTATTGTCTTTTATCCTTATATGTGTTTCGTGTAGGCAAATCCCAACTCATTTTAACTTTTGTAATTGTAAAAATGACAAAATCTGGCCTCTGAGGTGTATTTTTAGCCCTCTAGTTTAAAACTGAGATGCTGAAAAAGTAATGGAAGTGTTGGCAGGGATGCGCTTCACAAAGGGTAGAAAGAAAGATGGCATGATTGTAGCGCAATAGCTTTCAAAATATACTCCAGGACTTGGGGAAAGCTGACAACAGAGAATGGCATTTAAAAGCCACCTTTTCACGGCGACAAATACCATCTGAATCAGCCGCTTCTACCAAGAGATAAATATTTATGCCTACAGAACCTGCAAGAGCAACTTAAGAGGCCTATTTACTCTGCCTTGTGCATCCATGAAAATTGCTGGTTGGGCTTCAGTTCCAGACGCATGTTGAAAACAAAAACAGGAGATGGTGAAGCAGCAACAGGGACCAGAAATAGACCTTGGAGATACCCCATGACTTTGAGAGGAAAATTCTTAATGAATGCAAGCATCATGTCTGACTCTTTGAGACCCCTTGGACCAGATCTATTTACTCTGCCTTGTGCATCCATGAAAATTGCTGGTTGGGCTTCAGTTCCAGACGCATGTTGAAAACAAAAACAGGAGATGGTGAAGCAGCAACAGGGACCAGAAATAGACCTTGGAGATACCCCATGACTTTGAGAGGAAAATTCTTAATGAATGCAAGCATCATGTCTGACTCTTTGTGACCCCTTGGACCAGATCATGCAAGGACCTCCTGTCTTCCATTGCATCCCGGAGTTGAGTAAAATTCATGTTGGTTGCTTTGATGACCCTGTCCAGCCACTTCGTCCTCTGTCATCCCCTTCTCCTCCTGCCTTCACACTTTCCCAACATCAGGGTCTTTTCCAGGGAGTCTTCTCTTCTCATGAGATGGCCAAAGGATTGGAGCCTCAGCTTCAGGATCTGTCCTTCCAGTGAGCACTCAGGGTGGATTTCCTTCAAAACAGATAGGTTTGTTCTCCTTGCAGTCCAGGGGACTCTCAAGAGCCTCCTCCAGCACCACAATTCAAAAGCATCAATTCTTCAGCAGTCAGCCTTCTTTATGGTCCAGCTCTCACTTCCATACATTGCTACTGGAAAAACCATAGCTTTGACTATGCGGACTTTTGTCAGCAAGGTGATGTCTCTGCTTTTTAAGATGCTGTCGAGGTTTGTCATCGCTTTTCTCCCAAGAAGCAGGTGTCTTTTTAATTTTGTGGCTGCTGTCACCATCTGCAGTGATTATGGAGCCCAAGAAGGGAAAATCTGTCACTGCCTCCATATCTTCCCCTTCTATTTGCCAGGAGGGGATGGGACCAGTGGCCATGAACTTAGTTTAATTGTATTAGCAGCCCTGTACAAATCAATGGATGAAATCCTGTTGCGTAACATAAGCAAAGTCATACGTTTTGGCCAATTCATTGCCAGTAAATATCTCTGCTCTGATTCTTGGGGACAGAGATGCAGGTCTCAAGCCAGAGTGTGCACACCCCTCCAAGAATCACAGCAAGCACTCTTTACTGGTAAGGAACAGACCAATATGTATGACTTTGCTTACATTACGCAATAGGATTTTGGCCAAGGGATTGCAACTCATCTGGCAAATGGCAAATTCTGACTTCCTGCAACGAGTAAGGGTTATCTTCTCTGAAGTTGGTAAGAAAGCTGTGTAAGAGACAATTCTTGACTCACTTACTCACTTGCATCTAATCCATGTAAGGAATATTTCACACACACACACACAACTAGTGAAATACTACCATCTGGAGATTTTTGTGGGTGGCGAAAAGCTGGTATAGGAAATGCACTACAGCTTGAGATACAAGCTCTACAAACATACCTACAATCATTTTAAAAAAACACCTTCCTATTTAGTTGGGGCATGTTCTAATCGTCTCTTCATTAGCCAAGGGAATCCATATTTCTTTCCTTAGAGAGTAGGAATTTTTACTGAGTGGTTAAAATTCTTTTCCAAAAAAAGGAAGCGACACAGCCCAAACTCCCTGTGGGAAAGAACTAATCACAGTTAACAAGACGCAATTTAAAGAAAGCTATT